ATGTTGAGTCTACATTTATACAGTGTGTGTTATAGAGAAAACTACCTATGTTACCTCAGTGAGTGAAATTCATCTAAGTGTATAAAAAATCAGGACTTGTTAAATTTTAACATAGTGGAAGTTATACAAAAATGACCAAGTGTCATTAGAGAAAAATAAATGTAAGTTTTAAAGAAAAATCCTGTAAAATTGTTCTAAGTTCAAAAATTAGGACTTTAATGTTTAAGTTTCAATGTCACAAGTCTTTTGAGAAATACTCTAAGTTTCAAATAATAAATACACAAACAGGCAGTCACTTAACTAAGTGTCATTTCCACACGAGCAAGCGAAGAAGCGTCCATACCACTGCAATTAATTATGCAGACAGCTCACTCCCAGACATTCTATTCGCTACCGAGACAGGGGCGTGGCGCCAGATGTCTAGACAGGTCCACAGTGCCGACGCCTTCCACTAGCCCAGCCCCGCATGTGCAAAAAAAAACTTACCAGAGGAGGAGGAGCTAGAGATCAAGATGGCTGCGCTGGCTGCGACGGAAGGAGACTGAATAAAGGAACCGGTTTCCCCCGCCTTTTAGCGAATTTCCCTATAGGGAAGTAGCTATTACCGTAGGTGGCACGGTAAGACCTAGACCCGGGACCGATTTACTTTTTCATTTTGATGTCCCCAGAGGCCAAAAACACCATTCGTTCAAATTTTTATATATGTATATATATATATATATATAGACTTATATATATATATATATATATATATACGTCCGTGAACGCGATAACTTGAGTAATTTTTGTCCGATTTTGATGAAATTTGGTTTAAAGGTGTAAAGCGGGATAAACTTGAATGAGTTTGCAAACCAGCACGATCGGACCATGGGAACGGGGCTTTACGGGGGGTTTTATGGGGTAAAAATTGGTTTTTCTCACTTTTGACCCTCAAAACACAAAATTTCCCGATTTCTCTTTAGACCTTTTTAAAGAGCTTACAAAAACAAATAATTTAGTATATAAAAGTATTTTTATTCGATTATTAGTAACGGAGAAAATTAAAAAAATTTTAAATTTAAAATTCCCATGTTATTCTTATGGAGAATATTGTCAAATGTTGTAGTTTGCTTGTTTATGGATATATTTTGATCAAACTTGGCAAATTTATTTATTTTGTACTAAGCTATCAATATTTTACTCAAAAACACACTTTACTAGTTTCCTTGTAGCAGCAAACCTAGGTACTCGTTAAACCTAATGTTATTAAAATATATTTAACTGAAAATCAATTCAGACAAATGGAAATTCGCTTAGTCGGCAGGTTTGCTGCGGCGGGGGTATTTATATAATTCCCAGTGAGTGAATTCTCTATAATTCATAAAATAATTTTTAACAATTGCAGTGTATTTGTAAAATTTATTTTAACAATTTCTGGAGAAAATTAAAATATGAAAGTACAAATTTAATTTGACACCTGTCACCTGTCATCACATCAATCAGGTCAATGTGTCTGGTGCCAGGGACCTGTCTAGACATGTGTCGCCACTCTCTCTTGCGCCGCGTTCTCTCTCTCTCTTTCAATACCCCCCCTCTCGACATTGAATAGAACACCTGAGACTGGTCTGTCTGCATAATTAATTGCAGTGGTGTGGACGCTTCGTCGCTTGCTCGTGTGGGAGACGAGAACCTTGGCGGAGGTACCCGAAGTAGCCTTGATGTGTTGTCGTTAGTGTTGCTGTTGATAGTGAAAAGACCGGTCGCACTCAAGGCCAGCAGCATGCCCACACCGTGAGCCGGGAGCGCGCCCGAGTTCGCGTACAAACCTCGCACTGTCAAGTTGATGATTTTGAGAATATACTTGTGAATGGATGTGGATTTGAAATAGTAATGAAGTTGTACAATGGTATTGAACATTAATATAGGAGTATAGGCCGTGGGCAGGATTTTTAGGATTGGTGGCCAAAAAACGCCCACCATGTTATTCTTATGGGGAAAACGTGCCTAAAGTGAGGACTCTTTCTGGGTTCGCCACTACTAGCAAGAATCATTTTTACGTACCAACACATCACTGTAATTTACAAATTAGTTATCGGATCGTTGGTGTTCATCTTATTTATACAGTCGTATTATAGCCGTACTCAATTTAATTGATGTCTTAACTGTACAAGTTTTGCTTTTTCTGTCTGGATTCAAAATTTTAGTTTACGCTAAGAAAATGATAACTCATTTAAGTAAAACATTTGTTTAGCAAACCATCATGAATTGTTTATGATTTACGTTGTTTATGTATCAATAGTTTGTGGCCTATTTTGGTAATTTTTATTATAAATTACCAATCTAAATTGTCTATAGTACTTCATTTCATATATTAAGACGCCATTTCGACAGCATTTCGGGCCATCTTCGGTCCAAGTAAATATAGATTGGTACGGTATGATAAAATTTGATGACATTAATACAAATTTCAAATAATTTTTTATGTACTTTGTTATGCTTAAAACGTAGCAAATTCCCTAATTAAGTTCTGTATTTTTGTGTGTATGTCTGTTGGTAACGCATTTATGTCCTTATATCTCAGTGTCACAAAAAGGACAAGAGCACCTTGATAATTAAAATGTCAACCCGAATAAAGTGTTAAGTGGTGAGGTTGAGGTAGTACTTTAAATACTTTGAACCATTGTGGGAAGTAACTTTCAACTATAGGCCTATACCTTAGGGCTATGCCTCATAGATCTAGGCCTATAAAGCTTTTTTAGTTTAATCATTGGATTTAACATATGGACTAACACGATCCGGGTGACATTTAATTACGAAGCATGTGTTTTGGCTTGAAACTGTCAGATTTGAAGGTTTATAATAGTTTTGCCAGCATATCTAAAAATATGCAAACCAACTGCTGTTCTTAATATAAGAAGATTTCAACTGACTACTTTAAGATCCCCGTGCGTAGAACGGGCACACAGCTAGTCTTAAATAAATAAACTAAAACTTGGATTTAGTTTGCTATATTGACATTATTTTATCACTATGAACCTGAATTACTCTTTATTTTAATTGTTAACTATTTAGTGTTATGTAAATAAGTGTGACACCTATAAAACCACACTAGAAACCACATTCTACAGAATCAACTACATTCTCAAAGTTTGTCCACTTCTCCCAGTTAAAAAAATCTAATCTAATGTAGTTGGCATTTTAATAGATTTTATTAATTTTCAGTCAAAGTAAATACTATCATCATCATGATCACAGTTAATAAGGTAATTTAAAATAATTATAATAATCATTTATAATTAGCCAATCAATTTTGTTCTCAACTAGTACAATGTTTACAGGCTATGTACACATTTTTAGCCCTTCGGCACACAGATTGAATTTTGCACTGGTAGCGGAAGGTCTAATTTTCATTTTAGACCTTCCGCTACTAGTTCAAAATGCAAACTGGATGCCGAAGGTCTAATAAGACCTTCCGGGATCTAGACCCTCAGCAACTCTCATTTTATAAACATTTATTTACAAAATATAGGTCGTGTGCCCAAGGTCTACATACCGCAAAGTCATGTACTACACACACAGTACTACATACATACTACTACATACTACATACAGTACTACATACATTACTAGTGTATGAATTTTCTTCATTGACTATACTTTTAGACCGTTCAGGATTTAGACCTACTGCCCGTTTAGACCCTCAGCAACAAGTACAAAATGCTAAATGTATGCCCAATGTCTAATTAGACCTTCCGGGATTTAGACCTTCAGCGACTGATCCAATTGGGAGTGATTTGATGCTCGTTCACTCGGCACCAGTATTTGTATGCAATCTGGTGGGTGGAGGAAGTCAGTGTTCAAAGCAATCTGTCAGATCATTCACTTGCCTAGCAAAAACCTAGGCTTGGATTTTAGTAAGCGAACTAATTTTTGAAGGATAGGCCTACATTCATCGTTTTGATTTCAATACGACACTGAATATACAATTCCTCATTGAATTTATACCAATACTGATTCTTTAATAAATAAAAAAAAAACATCTTATTACATCACTTGTAGGAGTATTTAAAAAATATTTATCCTTTGACTTAAAAAAGTTAATAGTTTAGTTTGGTACTAATTTTTGTCTCCAGTACAAGCAAGATAGTTATTTTTCCGATATCACATGTTTCCTTCCGATATAAACCAATGATATCGTAAGCAAAGTATCGATATCTATCAGTATCGGAAACATTGCATCGTCTGCCAGTGTTAAGGCCAAGTGGAACACAATAGAGTGAATGTGAGGTCAGTTGGTACTCTTACTTTTACAGACGTTTAATTCTTTTCTTATTGATTTTAAAAGTGCGACATTGAGTTATTTCGCTTTAAATAAATTTTTGATTAGTTGATATCGACTTACGGTATACCTGCAAAAAGTATAAATCATCAGTCTGGAAAACTTGGAAAAGTCAGGGAATTTTATTTTCCAAATTTAGTACCAAACCAACCCTGATTAGGTTCGGGTTGATTAGACTGAGAACAAGATTAAAATACAGAAATTCTAAGTTCCTAACAGGGCATTTGTCAAAACACAATAAGTAAACTAACTGTTGTAATTGAATGAATTGTGTTAAAAAATTGTTTACGCAGATGAGCGTGTGGACAGGTTGTGATACTAAGAAAAATTACACTAAGGAAAACTATGCAACACAGTGTACAGCAGGGTCAAGTAAAAATCCAAACTGCCTCCCTCTCCCCAGAATAAACACGGACAAATGTGTCTAAAGTTGGGACTGTTCCCAACAGAATTGGGACAGGTGGCAGCCATGGTCCACATCCACAGTGTTTCGAGGTAGAACTCCTTCACTGGTAAAGATGATTGGACGTGATTTTGGAGATGAAAACACATGTGGTGGTACCGGTAACCTATTTAAATGGCTAAAGTAATGAATTTAATGACAATTTTAATGTTACAAGCAGGATGCAGTACAAAATTAGGAACAACTAAGAAATGTATAGAAAGATAAAACCCAAGACAATTAATGAAAAATCATTTTATTTTTAAATCTGAATTTGCAGTTTAGTTAACAATCAGTCACTTTTATTAAGATACAAAAACGGTGATAAATTTTGCACACAAGCTGAAATTTAATTAAAGCACCGGTACAATGGTACTATTACACTGGATAAAGGAACACGCTAGCCTAATAATAGGAACAAATTGCAGGAATATGTTATAATAATACATAAGAACAGTATGGTACTTACAACGTAAAGGTGGTGAAGACCAAAGTAACCACAATGATACACACACAGTAATCTAACGTAAAACTCACAGTAACCTAACGTAAAATCCTTTTCTTACAGAACGAAAGCACAAGAAACTTAAGCTTGGTCATGTTACAATTTCACAATGTTTAATCTATTTATCAATAAAAACGTAAGAGCAACTATACTGAATTAAAACTGTGTTTAAGCTATAAATCACATATTTTACAGTAAAAGGATTTCATTAATATTAAGAATCAAGGAAATGTTGCAGATTAATTAGAATTATAAAAATCCCTCTCATAAGTCAGTCTTATGTAGATATAAATACTTAAAATCCAAACAAATCAGTCTCATTAAATTCAGATTCATATAACAACTTGTCAAGTGCAAGAAGTCTTTTCTAATAGTCTAATCCCTCTAAAAATAGGAACAAAGATTCTAATCCCTCAAAAAATAGGAACAATTCCTTAAATGTTAAATTCAGTCTTCAATAAGTTTAAAGTTATAAAGACGACTTACAAAACCATTTAACACCAGAGTTTATGTTTCTGATTGAAATGAAAAATAATGATAGTTTTACAATTTGCCATTCCAACCTAAACTTTTTGGGGCACAAAGTGCTTGTATATTATTATTAATTTATTTAAAAAATAAAAAGCTCATTATAAAACAACTATCTGTAACTGTGGTGAAATTGAGATTTTAAGTATATCACATACATGTGAGCATTCCATTCAAAGACTTAAACTTACTTCATCACAAAACACAAAAACGTATACTCTTCATTAACATGTTAACCTAAAGTTGTAAAAATAAATAGAAGAAATACTGAATAACAGCATTTAAGCTTCCACAACAGCAGAAATTGTAGGAGCTTCTGCAACTTCGCATTTCTTTACTTCACATAGCTTTGTATCATCAACTTCATTTGCTGACTTGTCATTGAAACAATCATTCTCTTCATGATTTTTTTCAATTGAGCTTTCCTTAGTGACTTGTTCATCTGATGAACTAGATTTTTCGGAGACGTTATTATGCTTGTCAGGAAGTGTGTTTGCTTTTTCAGTCTGCGGTAGTTTAGCAGTTTCATCATCATCATCATCATCATCCTTGGCTAATGTCTTTTTATTTGCTAGGTCTACACTCTTTGCCTGGTTTGACGTATCAATGGGAGTCTTGGTTACAATTTCTTTTGTGTCACAACCATTTGAGTTTAACTCTGGAACTAAAACATCAGATTTAGACCCATCTTTAGCTTTACTTGATTCAAGATTTGAAAATTCATCTTTACAATTTATGGTTTGGGTGTCTATTTCATCAGTTTTCATCTTTTTACCTCCACCAATGGCATTTTGTGGACTAGATTCATCAGCGTTTTTTACTTCATTTGAAATACCGGTATTATCAATTAAAGTTTTTGCAGATTTATCAACTTGTGGTAATTGAGTAGATACCTTAGTGTCATCATTTTCTACTTTAGATTCTAGACAAGGTTCAGCAGTTATTTCATTCAATACTTGTACATCTGATGGAATATTCAGGGGTTTGTCATCTGCATTAGACTCATTCAGAAGTGGCACACCATTTTCAACTGAATCTTCTGCTGAATCATTTTGTGAAATTTTAGATATTTTCCCTTCAGAACAGTCACCATTAATAGGTTTTATTTGGCTGTTTTCATCATTGGCGCTATTCATATCATGAGCATTTAAATTGGTTGGTGGACTAGCTTTAGAGTTTTCAATCGTAATGGTTTCATCATCACATTTGTTTGGTTCCCTTCCATTGAGGGACTTCAGATTATTTTCAGCTTGGATGCTTTCATCATCCTTCGTTGCAACTTCTTTAGGGTTTTGGATTTCTGCGTTTCTATTTGATTCACGATTCTGATCATTTTGAGCTTGGCTGCTTTCATCATCCTTCATGGTACCTTCTTTAGGTTTCTGGATTCCTGCATTTCCATTTGATTTACAGTTGTCTTCATTGTTTGAAGCTTTGTCTTCACAATGTTGGCTTTCTGCCTTGAGATTCTCAGACTTACCATTCACAGCAACAGGATCCAATGTTTCATGGGATGTTTTGTTAGATAATTTAGTGTCTTTATCAACAATTTCTTTATTACTCTTATCATGATGTTCGTCAATATTTAATTTATCCGACACAATATCACTATTGCTCAAACCATCCATTTGAGATCCATTCTCGCAGTCAATTTTTTTGCTTGATTTTTCCCCTTTAGTCACATTAGTCGGTCTCATTTCAACATCACTATTTCCAGTAACTTCTTGCAGGCAATGATCTTTCTTCTCAGCAATTCTTTCACAATCTGTTTTCTCTGGAATACAAATTTTTGCTTCACAATAGCTCTCTTCAACTTCCATCTTATCATCATGTTGTTTTGGTAAGGTGGAGTTTGTAGGTTCTTTTGGGTTTTTAACAGAAACCTCACACGATTCAACAGTTTTATTGTCAATTTGGCCATCATTACTACATACCTTCCTCTTTTTAAAAGTATTCTCAAATTGAACCTCAGAGAATGAAGTGAGGACTTGAAATTCTTCTTTGTCCTCATCTGCCAATGGAGCATTGCCATCTCTAGAGAGCAAAGCTGCTAACAAACCAGCTCCTTTTGCAGCTCTCGCCTCTGAAAAATAGTTAAGAATAAAATTTTTAATTTTAAGCAAATTAATGTTTTTTACTTACTAACTAAATGCAATATTCTAGTATATACATAACAATGTAAAATATTCATTGTCTGGTACATAGGAAACTAGTTTATTAAGCTCATTAATGTTTTGTGTTTTTATGACTTTAGCAATAACATTTACTTGTTAGAATTTAACAGGTAAAAAAAAACAGGTCTACAATTAAAGGAAACCTTCTCTTTCCAGTCAACGATAGAGTACTGAGAGATCGTGCTACTCTATGTGGTGTGAATGTTAACCATAGCTGTTGCGATGAGAAAACTATTTACGCACTCACGCTGCTCCCCTCTTTGCTTGGGAGATACTAGGGAGGCTTTAAATACACTTAACTGTGCTTTCCCTTTGTTTTTTCAATACAATTTGTTTAACAAATACATCAATTTCTCGTTTGTGCATACAATGGACTCCCTCTTATCCACCTTAACACAGCATCGTGCAAACTGAGATCTGTGGATGGGGCTGAGTGGATGTCCATTGTTTTAGCTGTTTTTTCTTCTTTCAAATTTGCAATGATTTATTCAAAACAAAAGAGATTTAAAATACTTACCATGTAGGTTAACTATGTGTAGGCTTAGTTTAGTAAAATTTCCAATGTTTTAATACAATATTTAACATTTCTACTATGGTATAGTTTATATTTTCTGCTTAATCTGACTTGTGGCTCGTTTAGGTAGTTTAATCCAGACTAATTCTACTGTCATGACTTGAGAGAAGACAATTAATTACACTAAAAATTAGTGTATAATTTAGTGAAAATAAAACTTAGGGTACCTTTGGGAATGTCAGTCAAGAAAACAGTTTCCGATGGAGAGCAGGAAATAAGATCAATTATTTTTTTGTAGCTTTCCACATCAGATTTCTTCCCAACAGTAGTATCAAAATGTCCTTTGATATACTGAAAAAAATTTTTTTGGTAAAATAAAAAATAAAAATTAGGCTAATGACATTTTCAGAAAAACATTATTACTTCCCTTTACTTGGAGAGTTCATTCCCAAGACAAGTTAGGCCTATGTGGTACAGGGAATTTACAATCATCAAGAGCAACAAACCTCGAAACAACAGTACAACACAAAAGAAATTTGTGTTTGAGACAAAAATCAGATCAATGTTTACTGTATAACTAAGATGTCTACTCAGCCACAGGAGATGATCCGAATTTTGGTTGTCTCGGATGACAACAATAACGTTTCAGCGATTACGGGAGATGCTTAAGACACTATCGCGATCGTGAAAGAAGATAATGTTTAACATGTTCACTATCGATCGCCACATATATGCGACGCTGCGGTTATTGCCACAGACCGATCCTCGTAAGTAACACATAGACCTGGTGTCACTTTGTTAAGAGTACGTGTGGACCACGGGCCTGTGATGCAGCACAGGAAAAACAGTTTTGTCAACTATCATATGACGTCACTAATAATCATATCCACAGACCAAGCGACGCACATATTCAACAGACATCCCTGTAGACTACTGCAGACAATTCAGGGCCTTCAAAGAGACTGTTACGAAGAAATAAGCTTTTTAATAACATTGGGACACTTAACACAAATATGCGACGTCAGTCTATTTTAATGTGACCAGCTGTTGCTGGTCCATATGAATGAAAAATTTACTACCATTGCGGTAACGTGTTAAGTGACCGATAAAGATATTCAGGATGTTTATGTTACCACGGAGGATATTGAGGAATTTGCCGCAATTGCAGAAGATGAAAGATGATATGCACACGGCCGCAGGATATGTGTGGACATAAAAAGGATATAAAATGTTTACGATTCCGGCTAATAGAAGTCACCTCAATATAACAAACTTATCAGTATCAGTACCACTATATAGCGAATTTAACCTCTAAATTATTGCTTTTTAAACATCACACTCCTATGAGGAAAATTTAATGAAAAGATGATGTCAACACTTGCTTACGCTGACAATCACAACAGATGTCATTAGCAGGGATGAAGACATAATTGGGTGATTAGTAACCATGACGATTTGTTGAACTCGTGGGTGAATAGAAACTTAAGAAAAATTAAGAACAAAGCAAAAGTATAACAACATCGTTATCTTTATATGCTCTTTTTGCACGTTTTATATTCAAGTAGTCCCATGATTTTAGACTTATTTATGCCTTGGTACCTGGGGACCGAGCTTTGCTCGGGGAAAATCATTAGTTTACTCTGAAAGCAGTCTTAGTATTGCAGATACATGAATCCATTTCCCACACTCCGCACTGCTAGCCTTTACTAATTCTTTCACCACTTCCTGTGTCGTGGACATGATTCCATCCCTTCTCATAACATTTCAGTATTGCAGATACATTATTCTAACTGCTACAAACTGTTTCCAGTTCCCACACTCCACACTGCTCACCTTTTCTACTTCCTTCACCCCTTCCTTAGTCGCGGACCTGTTCCCCTCCCATCCCATAACATTTTAGGATCGCAGATACCTTAATATAATCGTCATAAACAGTTCCCACACTCCGGAAAGCTCACCTTAACTACTTCCTTCACCACTTCCTACGTCTCGGACCTGTTTTCCTCCCTTCCCATAGCATTTTAGGACTGCAGATACCTTAATGTAATCGTCATAAACAGTCCCCACACTCCGGACTGCTCACCTTGACTACTTCCTTCACCACTTCCTACGTCTTGGACCTGTTTTCATCCCTTCCTAAGCTGTTATATATTTTATTCTCTTGGTACTTGATGTTTCATTGCTAAGATACAGTTATGATTTAAATGCTTATTGTTGTGAGTTCAAATTGTAAATAAAACATGTTGAAAGTAGTAGCTATCTGATTTAACGTTTTTTAAAGTTTTTACCAACTTAAATAGAATTCAATCTAATATTGATGTGAATTCCAACATTATTAGCATTTTTGGATTGCAGATACCTTAATCTAATCGTCATGAACAGTTCCCACACTCCAGACTGCTCGCCCTTACTATTTCCTTCACCACTTCCTGCGTCGCAGACTTGTTTCCCTCCCTTCACATAGCATTTTAGGATTGCTATCTTAATCTAATCGTCTTAAACAGTTCCCACACTCCGGACTGCTCACCTTTACTACTTCCTTCATCACTTCCTACGTCGCAGACCTGTTTCCTTCCCTTCCCATAGCATTTAAGGATTGCAGACACAGTAATCTAATCGTCATAAAACAGATCCCACACTCCACACTGCTAACCTTGACTACAATGTGTCGAGTAATCTTCAGTATAATCTTTGCTCAATAGTAACAACTGATGTTTTTCCTTTTGTACTGTATTTTTAACTTTCTAGTATACTGTGGACTGACAACTTACAAGTCTTTTGTTTACTTTTTCCTTGTTATTTAATTCAGCCAAGATGGTTACTTAGTAACCCATAAGACTAATGTTAAAAAAATGTGACTTTCAGTTTCATTTTTCTACGTACAGTAGGATCTCGTTAATCCGGCCCTATATGGGGATTAGTAGGGCCGGATTATAGAAAATGCCGGATTAGTGGAAATGCATCAGAAATTGAAGTGGTTTTACAATAAACAACATTTTAATGCTTACGAAAACTATGATAACAATCATTTGAATTTCTGTACAGTATAGGCCTAATGAAATGTTGTTTAATGTATTATTGTGAAAAATAAACAGTGATATGAAACAGCAAACAACTGTACAGTACAATATCAGACAATGAACAAAGATAATCACTAAATAAACTGAACTTATGTGCAACCAATAGGTCATCAATATAATACAAGAAGACAGACCGAAAAACATTTTGAAAAACATAGATTGGAATTTAAAAAAAAAAGACGACATACATTGGCAATAAATTCTTTAAAGCACTTCCGAATGAACTAAGATCAGAAAAAAACAATAACAAACTAAAATGTAAATTGAAAATATATTTGATCAACAAACCCATTTACTCAATAGAGGAATTTTATGATTACAACAAAATTATGAAGCAGTAGTGGTAGTTTTTTTTTTTTTTTTTAATTTATAATTGTATTGTTTTTTAGTTTTATATTTGACGCCATTTCTTGTAATGACATGTACAAGGACAAATAAAGTGATTTGATTGATTGATTGATTGATTAATACTGTACGTGTACAAAATGAAAATTACAGAACTTTAGGCCTACTGTACACTTTACATGTAAGACCTACTTAAACAACAGCAAAATAGTTTGTAATATTTTTCTGCTTCTTTGCATTAAAAGAAAGTTTTAAAACATTTTCCTGGAGCCTCTTTAGTGTCATAATATCAGAAGCCGAAGCACCGTTTTCTTCCGCCCAAGTTATTGCAGTTGCGTAGGCACAGAGCGCCGAATCCGTGTTGACTGTGTGTGCAGCTGCAGCTGTCGACGTACTGGCTCCGCCCACTCCGCCCTCCTCGTCCCCCTCCTCCACGTCACTGCCATCTAGAACATCTTCGATGATCTCATCGTCTGTCATGATTTGACACTGCTTGTCGTCTGCTCCGTCTAACCAGGCGGTAACATCGGCTGATGTCAGATCTTCTGGATCGTCTACTAACTGTTCGGCTATTGCTTCTCTCAAGTCATTTAGCTCAGCATCTGTTGTCACTGTCGTTTGAGGATTTGATTGTCTTCTGTAATCCTCTAATAAATCAAGAGAAGGCCACAATTTCGCCCATTAACAAACAATTGTTTTTGTTGCAAGTTTTTCCCATGCTTGCAAGATTAAAAACAACATCTTTCAGGTTGGTTTCCTTCAGAGCTGTAACAACACTCCCCTCTTTTGACAAAACACTGTACAAAAGGGTTTTTTGTAATTCGTTTTTATAGTTTGGATCACATTTTGGTCCATGGGCTGGAGTATCGGAGTTACATTTGGGGGCAAAAATAAAGCAGTGATTTTTCCATCCCTACTTTTTAACTCATCCTCATCTGGATGTCCAGGACAATTATCGAGCAGCAAAAGGGCTTTTTGAGGCAGTTTCTGTGTTTTCAAAAACTATTTTACTGATGGAACAAAAGTTTGATTAAACCATTCCGAAAGAGTTTTTGTCATCCATCCTTTTGTCGAGTTTGTGTATGTAACTGGCAACTGTGTGTTTTTGAAAGCCCTTGGCTTTTTGGCTTTCCCAATAACAAGCAATTCTAATTTATGCGTGCCACTAGCATTACAACACGGCATAAAAGTTACTCTATCTTTGGCCAACTTGTGACCAGGGCACTAGCTTCCTCTCTATGAACGAATGTTTGTTTCGGCAAAAGACGCCAAAACAGACCACTCTCGTCAGCATTGTAGATCTGATCTGGGCCTAAGTCCATTTCATCCACGATTTCTTTAAATTTTTCAATAAAAGGTTCTGCAGCTGCTACATCACACGAAAGCCTTTCACCAGTCATAGTTAGCAGTCGAATTCCAAAGCGTCGTTTGAATTTATCCAGCCACCCAACACTTGCACGGAAGTCGTCCTTTTTCATGATTTTGTTATAGAACAGTTTCGCCTTTTCCATTATAATATCACCTGAAATTGGCGTGTGTCGGCTCCTTTCTTGCATGAACCAATTATAAAGTGCGTCTTCTACTTGCGGAAATTCGCCTACTTTTAATGTCTTTCTTACCTTCGAAGATGATTCACTACTCCTCTTAAAGAATGATTCAATTTGCTCCTTCTTTTTCTTTGTGTTGTGTATAGTTGCACGGCCGATATTGTATTCCTTAGACAGATGAGCCAACTTTTCACCCTTTTCCAAACGTTTTAAAATCGTATACTTTTTATCTAAAGTCAGCGTTACATGCTTACGTTTTCCCGACATCGCACTACACTTGTAGATTGTATAGTATATACACTGCACAGTACTCACAACACTACCTTCACTCAACTCACACGCCACGCACTGTACGCAACTACCCGTAGCAGACGTCAGTCGTCAGTGTACTGCTGTTGTGAAATATGGACACTCGCGTTTTCAAGTAGAGACTCTACTGTAATTAGATTTTTGTTGGCAGTTCAAACTGCAGTAAACTCGTTTTTAGGCCAGGAATAAACTATTTACAACATTTGAAGAAAATCGTCGGAGCCGTTTTCGAGATCTTTGTGCAAGCAAGCATACATACATACAAGCAAACTTTGCTCGTATTAGAGTATAGGATTTAAACATCTTTGCCACCAAGACTGATAATAGAATATATATTAGGTTACGTACCTTGTTCCGTCTTCAGTCTTAACATAGTCAATGTCGTGTCCGCCGTGTAACCTGCGTCGGGTTGTCCCATATTCAATGTGGCCGGCCTATCGTAAATCTATTTGTAACTTTTATTTTTGTAAAACGTGTAAATTTTATGTGCTGTCAACCTGCATGTATACATTGATGAAGACTTACGTCGGATATTTGACCATATTCAATATGATGTTTTAAATAAGGATTTGATAATGGGACTTTGTTCCCGAAACTAGTCATCCATTGACTAAGTTAAGACTGAAGACGGAACAAGGTACGTAACCTATTATATATAGGATTTAATGATTTGCTCACTCCAGAGTGAGATATGGAAGAGAAATAACATCTGCTGTGAAACAAGCATAACACTGTTGATGAGGTCGAAGAGGCAAAAAAGCTATTGCCAAACAATCTGCCTGTTGTAAAAGTTTTAATTTGAAGACGGCAATGTCCACCTGTTATTTCCAACAATGTTCTTATGAACATTGTTTATAATTTTCAGTAGTATTTACCATTTTTTTAGATGCTTAAAAGTGTTAGCGACCTGATGTTGTCTTGGTGGTTGAGTTGATAAATGATAAGACAAATATTCATAACAAATATAAAAGTTACATTTAAGCTCTGCTAAGGTTAGCAATGTATAATGTAACACTTTATTATTTAGTCAATAAAGTATGCATTTAAACAAAATATTTGTCTGTTTTAATTTTTTCTATCAATTTGATATTCACCTTTAACTGTTATTGTATGTTTTGGTAAAAAAAAATTATTAAAAATAAATTATTTAACAAAATGCTAATATTTTAGAATTGAACACAAATAATAATAAAGAAAGTTGCTATATTTACCGGTAAAAGATCGCCTTTTCCGGTATGACCAAACAGCAATTTTTGGGCATGTACACTTCCTGATGAGTATATGTAGATACATTTTCCAAGTTCTGTCCATAGCTTTAAGTTTTCTTCAACATCCTCGTAGATACTGCAATATGAGTTAATCAAATAAAATTATAATGAGACAAGAAAATAAATGTTAACATTTTAAATGAGAAATTTTTCAGGTGAGTTGGTGGCTTTGTCGGTAGTATAACCAAACCACAGACTTTGGTTTCAAGGCTCTGAAGTCGTGGGTTCGGATCCTGGTACCTGCCACTATTTTTTAACAATACAATTCATCTTTGTACTGAGCCAGCTCACCTCTTGCATTGCTGGTTAGGTTCCTTGCACCGGGCAAATGCAAGGTTAAAAGAGGCCTCCAACCTCTTTTTTAAACAAAATTTAAAAGCATAATCCTCTAAGATTCCAGTTAGATACTAGGATGAAAAAGTTACTTTTTGTAAATTTTAAAATATTATTTATATAATATAGATGTACACATAAGTGCTACACAAAAGTAGACATTACGCATTCTGTAGCATGCAATTCAAACATCTTAAATCACAATTTACAGGGGTCTTATAAGATAATATCGACACACCAGGAGATGGTTTTATATCCTAAACACAGGTGACGTTTCCACCATTCAGTATTCCACCATCCGTCACCCCCAGCATGGAAAGATGGTCCCTGACATCTCTCTGGCATCTGAAGCCCTAGCCCACCGGTCACTGACAGGAGAGTCTCTAAGGACTACTCTGCAAGCGACTTATCAGGCAATTGTCTTCAAGGAAATTCCTGAACTTTCCTGAGCTGGACATATACAACGATATGCCAGCTCAGTTCATCCGTCTCAATGTACCTCAGTTGTCTTTGCCAGGGCACATTTATTTCAGGGTTACATAAAAAATAAGCCTGTTGGACATTGGAAGTGCCGAATTTCAAGCTACGTTGACAATGCGTCCCACCATCTTCGGCATTTGATCGTTCCATGCCTAAGATTTTCGCCACCGCAGAAAGAAGCCAGTTAACTGGTGGAAACCCAAGATTGTAGAACCCCGGAGAATATGCCTTGAGCTCCAACGAGCAGCGCGGCATGCCAGAAACTGGCCTGAAGCTAATGCTAGATCGGAAGAGCACAAGGCTGCCATGCAAGATCCCCATGGTGCTATCAATTGGAGTAACGTCAGGTGCTGGAAGCAACTGTCAGGACATCCAGAACAATTCTTGAGTTATGGGCATGGCCCCCACATTTAATTGTGGGCCCTGTTACCAGGATCTGGCTCGGGCCCCCCTACCAACCGGGGGGTCGGGGGGGTATGGAATACCCCCCAGCGTAGAGGGGGGGTCCGGGACGTAAAATGTCATGTATTTTAGTGAGTTTTTAAGGCAATCTAGGTATTAAATTTGTGAGTGGTAAATGGCACTTTTGCAGCCTTTTTTAAGGAAGAAAAGAGTTCTTCAATGAGTGTTATAAGACTTAAAATTACAGGAATTCAGCAATTAAAACTATTATATCAATACACAAAAGCTCCATGCCTATTAATATTTTGTCCTTTTTATTTCCCTATAAGAGGGTTTGGCTATCTTAACTGCTATAATTGTACTTTGTAATATGGAGTAGGAAAAAACTTACGTAAATTGAGTTTAACAGCTTACACCAATGAAATCATATTTTATTCAGTGACAATTTTCATCAAGAATTTTAACAATACTACATTTTTTGGGAGTGGATGCCTGAGCTGCCGAACTTGCGCCGAGTAGTCACGGAGAAAAACAAATGTGCACGAGTAATGCCGAGAATGACCGATGCTATCCAATCCATGCTTTAGTACAGTATTATACCGAGCAAATTGGGAAGAAAACTTAGGTCAAAATTATTAGGCCTACAATCTTTCACATTTTTAAAACTCCAAAAGTAAAGAATTTTTAAGTTTGTGTCAAATAACCTAGATTGCAATAATTATTAATTGAAATATTCCATACATAAAAGTGCAACCGGGACCAAATGTTGATAAAACAGGACAAATAAGCGTCCCGAGAGGATTTGTCGGGACGGACCAGTCCCCCTAAAACGGGACGTCTGGTCACCTTAGCTATGGTACATAGTACATGTCAATTTTTCAATGCTTTACAAATTTTATTTTAACTTATAACTATAAGGATTCATTCTTGAAACTATCAGTTCAATTATAAAACCAAACTTTGTTTATTATGGGGGGAATGAGGTAGGAGTGGCTAGGCGCCTGGCGGGAGGAAGGGGTAGAGGGAGTTTGTGGAGCCGGCCACTGGGGCCCGAGCTGGCTGTTCTGCTGTTGTATAGTACATACGCACCTACGCACCTATAGAATTTAAATATAAACTTCCTTAGAATCAAGAATTAATACATTTTAAATTATTTAACTTTGTTTTTTGTAAAATATTTAAATATTATTTTTTTATCTTCAATTTATGAGCTGTAAAGTGATCTTCAATGGGGAAAAAAATAAAAAACAAATGGGTAGGCCCGGGCCCCCTGAGGGCCCGGGCCCTGTGACTAGAGTTGCGCCAGCCCCACCCTTGTGGGGGCCATGGTTATGGGCTACAAGATTGAAACCCAAAAGCAAGGGACTTGACCACCAACTACAGTCAAGGACCTGTCACCGTGGCTACTATCATTGAAGCGTTATTCCAAAGCATCCACCGCTACCAGCGAGGGAATTTGGAGATTAGGGCGCGTTACCAGTCTTTCCGGAAGAGGGACTTTTCTCCGCTGTCCCATTCCTTAGAAATGGAAGAGCACCTGGCCCTGATGGCATTCCTGCAGAATTTCTACAGCTTGTTGGTGTTCATTAGACTGTTACTTAAGATACAAGTCACTAACTAATACCTGAAGAATTCAGTACTCAATACAGAACTTGTAGTCATGGATTCTGCTATGCTGTAAGTTAGTTGAAACCAATCTTAAAACTTATATTACCATATTATAAACATTGTATATAAATTCGTTTTTGGACGGATATATCCATCTTTGTCCCAGAAAAGAAATTTCTCGGGACGGATATATCCGTTTTTAGCCCGGAAAGTAAACAAAGATTGACGGATATATCCGTCCATAGCCCTGGAAGGGTTAAAATCTTTAGAGAGTCCCCAATTTCAAGACTCTTTTTATCTTAAACATTCAGTAAATCCCAATTTTCATTATATGGCTCTAAAAAATTACCTCCACCTCAGCAAACCTGCCGACTAAGCGAATTTCTACTTGCCTTATTTGATTTTCACTTAAATGTATTTTAATAACATTAGGTTTATCGAGTACCTAGGTTTGCTAATACAGGGAGGGTAATAATAAAGTGTAATTTTTGGTAAAATACTTAATAGCTTAGAATAAAATCAAACAAAAAGAATAACAGAGGAATTTCTATTAAAATATTTTCTCTGTATTAAATAACCGTACGAAAACATTTCAATGTATTAATTTTTGTGTGTTTTAAGCTGTTCAAAATGGTTTAGAGAGAAAATATTTAATTTTTATTTAGTCCAAAATGAGAAAAACCAAATTTTACCCATAAATCCCTGTTCCCGTAGTTCGATCATGCTCCTGTGCTAACTCGTCCAAACAGGTTTGTATGTTCTATTTTTGAATTACATGGATCACTTGGCGATCAAGGTAATGTAACCTTATATATAGACTCCTCTTGCCTTAGGTAAGTTAGGCCTCTTACAGTCATTTAAGTTAAGTTTAAGTCAATGTTAACTTAACTGTTTACCTAGAAGTGCATCGGAATGCGTTGTTAATCGCTTTTCCGCACTCCGCGCCTAGGAAAACCAGGCTTAAGGCCACAGATAAGCTAACTTAGTTAAAGTTTAAAAGAAATTTATCTATTAACTTAGGCCTAGGTCCTTTAACTTACATTTAAGACTGTAGAAAAGGCCAAGGTAGGCTATTACCTTTGATTGCATGCTTCCCTAACTTGATGGGGAACACTCTGTCAGTTACACTTGATAACTTAGGCCTAATTTGTTAGTGTAGGCCTATCTAAGTTTACTTAGCTCATATGCCTACCGGATAACGTTAAGTTATAAGTTAGGCCTAGTTTCAAAATAACACTTGAAAGATCATATCTCAACAATGACGATTAATTTTTTAAACACTAAACCAGACACAGTAATTTAAGTTACTTCCTTGCTTAGTCTTACCAATCAGTTCATCTAGCCTAGATCCTAGGAGTGAACTTGACTATTTAATATGTGAACAGGTCTAAAGTATCCAGTGCATTTAAGAAGTTTTTTTAATATATTCTAAGTATTGAATAGTGTTTAAAGTGCTACATACCTTAAATTTAACCATATATAAACATTTATAAGTGATAAATTCCGTAAAGAAAAACACAAGTTCCAAGAATATTTGAAAAATAGTTTTCCACTTTCTACAGCAGGCCAAAACACATTGTTACACTGACTGGAGCAAACTGGCAGGAAAAGTATAAAGTCTTATTCATAAATTATTAATAAAGGTAAAAAGCATTTTGAACTTAATTTCTTAGCAAAATAAAATAATATTTTTTTCTTTTAACACAATGAAAATTTTAATTTGTAATTTAAATTATACAAGAGATACCAACTACGGAACTCAAGAACCACAAGTAAACCTGTAACCTAAGGATAACCTGTTGGAGTTTGAAACCTGCTTCAGCAGAATCAACAGACTCCTTATCAGCTGCTTTGTTTACTCGGAGAACTGACCCTTCAACTGACCTACTAATAGAGCTATTGCCACAATATTCAAATGTTTTATCACTTCTCATAACAGAATAGAGAACTATTGTTGTTTAAGATATTACATACATTATTTAAGGAAAGCAATTTAATATTTTAACTGTAAATTAATATAATTATTTTACTGGAAATATAAACTGCAATCAAAAGTAGTTTTGATTTTATTTTGTGTTTATGTTTTACACTTTTTGATTGGATAGCAAGGATAAAAAATGTACGATTCCCAAAGGGTGGAAAAGAGAGGAAATAGTTAGAAAGAAAGGGATTCATAAAGGAAAAATTGATGTATATATAACCTCACCGTCGGGCAAGTTATTTCGTTCTAAAAAAGAACTAGCTAAATACATT